GCGCTAAAATGGTTTTAAAGTGATCTATGTTTTACTTCCCAGCATGCTGGACTCACACATGGCAGCACAGCGGTAATGATCCGAGAACACATTCGAGGTTAAACAGTTTATTGGAATTGGAGAATCATGCTAGTGCGGTTTGAAAAGTGCAAAAACGACCAGCAGAGTATAAAAAACGCCTAACAAGTTCTGAAGTGCAGAAGAATTCACCACAAACGTGGATATATATATATTGCAGTCAATGACTGCATGACCTATAAAAAAAAGTTCCACATACAATATTTAGCTTTACTTTCATTTGCATTTTACAGGCTCATAAATATGTGATCAAAAAGCCAAAACATACATTTTACCACAGGATTTACCATCATTTGCATACATCAATTGAACCATGCATTTTAATATGTGATGATTTGACATTTACAGTTATGACAGATATTCTAAGGCAAGGCCATTGGCCTTTGAGTCGAGTAAGACCCCTAACCCACTTACCCTTAGTGGAGGAGTTCATTTCTACTTATGTAGTGATACAAATGTCAGCTTTTAGACTTAAGTTTGTGACTAATGTCAACAGGAGATAATCCGAGGAAGGAGGGTGGATAAACAACGGCTCACAGTATGCAATACCAGCTGCGGCAGTTCGTTGGTCTGGCTACTTTTTAGCAAAGCTTTGAGTAAGAGAACAGTGTGGCCCCATAGGTGGTTGAAATCGTCCCCATCGGGGGCAAGTGTGAGAGATACCGCTTCAGGACTGAGGTGCAGCAGCCCGTGCCGGCTCTTCAACCATCGGCAGACTGAAGACGGAGCTGATAAGATCATAGAGGCTGTTTGAGATCTGTAGGCTGACGTTAGCGCTGTGAAGAGACGAAGCCCCTTCCATCTGGGCCATCTCATGAAAGTGTCGACAGATCAAAGGGACCACCTACATGGACACATTGATACATTTTAGAGCTCTTAAAAAAAATGCACAACTGAAGGGAGATTATCTCAAATACTGCACCGAGGTGAAGGTCAGGGAGAATAGGAAAGAGGATAACCTTGACTATGATGAGCTTCTTCTCCAAAGGCTTTCCGTCGGGGAACTTCTCTCCAAAGCACATGTTGATGGTGTAATCAGGAGAGCCGCCGTTGTTCTCTTTAAACTGCTTCAGTTCTGAAACACAACCCAATGTATTACTTTCACAGTGCAAAGTTATGTTGTCTTCACATTAAATGTAATAGTAAAAAATGATATGTAACAAGTCACAATTGTGTTCAAATGAGCAAGAGATCCACACCTACCATTTACATACTTCTCAAAGCTGAGGAGCTCCACCATGGTGTTCTGGGGCAGCTTGCTTGGGTCTGGGTGAGCCACACTGGGGTCACTGGTGCTGGCAAACACGTGGCACCTGTCCTGCCTCCAGCCATAGATACCAGTGTCCCGTACCTCCAGGAACAGACCCCTCTCGATGCTGTCAAGGATGCGGTTGGTAAACTCAACCTGTTGTACAGAAAGTTGTGATTAGAAAAACTTTGACATTAAAAAAAAAAAAAAAAGCTTTGGCACTGAGGATGTTTATTGTCTCTAAACTTGTGGGAACATTCCACACTAAACATTCGCTATTTCTTTCTCCTGATGGATTTCTATATTTCAAGCTGTTCAAAGTGTGGAGGGTCAAAAGAAGCTCTTGGGCTAACACGAAATCAAATTTCTGACTTCAAGCTGATCAGAGTTCTTTGTAGAGGAGCAAACGATACACTTATTAGACCCTTTTTTTCTAAGCAGAAGTGTTTTGAAACTTGTTCCTCCGGTTAATGCTCAAATGAACACGCTGCATGGTGAAGATGCCAGCTTTTCTTAAAAATAAAATTAGACTGCCACATGTTACAATCACTTAAATGTACCCTGTGGAGTTTCTGACCACTAGCAGTGCTAAAGAGCAATGTTTCTACGAGTGGGTCTCCAGTTTTGTTGGTTCTTGTGCATGTTGTGCCAAAAGGTTCACACTATCCCACAAGTGGTGGTAACACAAAGAAAAGCAGTAATGTGCCAGCAAAGGCAGTGAAGAGGAAGACTGCCACTAAACAATGCACATTATTAGATAAGCATAATGTTTTATGAGGAAGGAAATGCTTTCACCGTGTTTTTTGTAAAAAAAAAAGTTAACTGCAGGAAATAGTCTTCATAAAATAAGCCAAAGAAAGTGAGATAATCTGCTGAAAGGTGTGTTTTTTTTATTCAGTAGTTTATGGAGGGTTTTTCTTAAATTAGATCACACAAAATGTCCAGCTGATCATGTACCTGTTTGTGGTCCAGCAGACTGTCTGTTGAGGGAAAGCAGATATGATGGACATTGGGCCCCGGGGCCTCCTGCTGGTAGTGGAGCTGGAGAAGGGCGGTGGTCAATGTGACCTTTAGCATTTCCCTTTTCCTGTAGTGGATAGAGATCTCCAGGTCATATATACTTGGCTGCTGCAGAGGTGAACTTAGGACTGGTGGAGGATTCACTGTAAAATAACAACAAAAACATGATCACTTATTTACAGATAATCGATTGGAAACATTTCTTTCCAGTGGAGCGTTTCAATAAAGGAATTTGATTTAATTTGGCTGAACGTACCCTCGCAGTAAGAAGGCTGATCTGGTAAAGGCTGTGGGTGGTTCTCAGCGGCCACAGGGTAGCTTACAGGGACAGCCGGGTTGTGCTGACCGTAGTCTTCTGCCCACAGCTGCTCCTCTATTAAAAGGCAATAAATAGCAGATTAAAGAACATTTAACCTCATGATAAACCATGGAAAAATCATAAACAGGTAGAAAGGATGTTGTGCCATAACGTTTATGGTATTTCCCTTGGCATAAAACACTGTACCTGATGTCTGGTTGCCAAGGTCCAAGGCCATAAAATTGTTCAGTAGATTATGCTGTTTGGAGAAAAAAAAAGAAGGCATAAAGCATAAAAATCTTTGTGATATGAAACCAATTAACAGAGAAGTGAAAGTGCGCTCTAGCCAATACGGCACCTCGCTTCCTGAGGGGAAGTACTGGATGGGGGAGTTGTAGATATCTGGAGTCATCATAGAATCCTCCTGGGAGTCTTGTGTTGGCAGACTTTCATAGTTGTCTGCAGACAAAGAAAACAGATGCACTTTCATTTGCGTTCAACTTCAAAAAACGGTGGAAGTAGAAGGCTCGGTTTAAGTGACTATCGTCTTACACTCGTTGTTGATAATCTCATAGATTTTATGAGGGTCGTCCGAATTCTTGGAATTGTCCCTTGTCATCTTGAAGCGCACGGAGAGGTTGTTCAGAGCGCATCGGAAGTTGGTTTTCCACCTGGCCTTGTCATTGGGGAACTCGTTGATTTTTCCACTTGCTACTGCCCATGCCTGTGAACCAGGAGAAGTTTAAATACACTCTGCAGTCCACATGTACACAAAAAGCGGATGTCCTGCCATTAAGAAAAAAGACGCCGTACAGGCATCTGCTATCACTTTCAAAACTGTAATAGAGTTGTTCTAACCACTTCCACTGTGGTACCGATACTGTGCTTCCACTTTGACTCAAGAGAAGTGGAAGTGCCACTTGTAACTGCTATGCTATAAATTAAGCACTGTGCCAGGAATGACGTGAAGGAATCTCTAATGGCATGTCAGTCACTTTCTTCAAAAACTGCTTATGAGGAACTTTTTAATGGCACAATATCATACTTCAAAAAAAACATACAGTATTACTACAGTTGTGTCAGACAGATGTCAACAAAGCAATCAACTAGTACAGCAGCGGAGTTTAATAGAGGCAGTTGAACCTACCCGAAATATTTTACTGTCTTCATCGTTGCAGTCCTTCCTGGAGTTGTGCTTCCAGGGGACTCTGAATTTGGTTTGGCTCTCATAGCGGAGGCCCGTGTACTGGCCCGTCCCAACCTGCTCTATGAGCCAGCTGGCAAACTGAGGCTTGGGAGGGCTGAGAGGTAAACATGACAGTCAGTCAGTTTCAGTGTTCCGACAGTTAAAAGGAAATGAACTACCCACAGACACTACACACACTGTAATCCTCAACACGCACACGCTAGACTTATTCAGCAAATTATACAAAAGGAATTTTTATTAATCTACACAGCAGGTTTCACAGTGAATTGACTACTTCATAATGCATGTAATCCACTCACAACAAAACAAAGCAAGAAACACAATGATAATATCCTACATAGGCGAGTGTGTTTGTCTCCCTACCTTTGCATTTCTCTGAAGATGTGCTGCTCTGCCAGAGCTGTTGATGTGGATCCTCGTTGCACCTTTGCTGCAGTTATAGCAGCAACATCAGTGTCGCCGTCTGAGGCTTCGTCGTCTCCTCCCCCCAGGGGGGAGGGCACTACTCTTTCGGCATTTCCGAGGAACTCGAGGGTGAGTTTGATTCACGGAGAAGCGAGACGTTACCTCCTCCGAGGAGCATTTAAACAGTTACTAAGCAGCTCACGGTGGGGAAATCAAACACACCCTCTGCAGCCCGGATGTGGAGACGTGGTTGGAAAAGTGGAATTGCTGCCATCGAAAGTGAAAGAAGTTTTTCCTGTTAAACTCTTTTCTTGCGTCACGTTTTCATCGACAAGGATATTTGTTCATAATGTTGCCCGTCCCGTGTTTAAGATTAGAACTAATATATGAACTCATCAAATAAGTAAATTGCTTTTGGTTCTTTCTATACTTAACCTTGTTTTTGAGTGGTACCAATTGCCGGCCCTTAATACATTTTTCCCATGTGGCCCTAATCCTTTAGGTATAGCCCATGTGACGCTAAATTATGACGTCATAACTCACATAGATTATAAAATAGTGCACCAGATATTTCAAATGATATGCCACTTTACAACATGCCAGTGCATTTCTCATATAGCTATGATGATAAGATTTAAGATCCACCAAATATTTTGCAAGTAGTTTCATTTCAGATGACGTGTCAGTTAATACGCAGAGGCATTTAGCTCCACCTGCTCTGACCTGCAGGCTGCTTTTGGAGAGGTATTGATCACTTAAATAGCGACGCATGAAACCAGCCCTGTTCCAGTGAATCTAGACAAAGGAATCCACCGGGGAGTGGACTGTAGCTTGTAACAAATCAGCAGTGTATTCAAGCGTAATGTGGTACTTTCAGAGTGAGAATCCTGCAGGTGTGCGTTGTGTCATGTGTTTGAATGAGACAGAATATTAATAACCAGACAGTGAGTGAGAGTGCAGTGGGCACTCCCTTGTTTACATGACATACATTTTGATCCACAGTACATTACTAAAGAACACTACAATTATACTACTATTCCTCCTTTCTAGCATCAGCGTTTTCTAACTTCACTGCATAAGAAAAGTACAACTGGGAATTATTTATTTTCTTCACCCCCTTCTGGAGTCTTATCCAATATTTTACTCACAAACACAGTACAGAAGGTCAGGTGCTGTGTGTTGCATTAGTGTGCATGCTAAGCCTACTTCTCTTTACTTGCTTCTAGAGAAGATCGCTTTATATTGTCTAACCGTGTCCTGACCGCAGACTGCGTTAGTGGTGAACTAAGGCATCATAACACTTATATCACTGGTTTAAGAAATAGGGCTAACACGGCTACAGCCCAGTACACATATGTCAGGAATAGAGAAGCGATACATATTCTAATGGAGCACTTCCCTTCTGCTTAGTCCTTTTAGAAGACTGGTTATTGAAAGACCACATAGATGGCTCACATCCTATTTTACACTTTTATTCACAATGCAAAATCAACATCATAAGTGTGTTGTTCTCTAAATGGAAATATTGAATATTTTGTGGCCGATTATGTGACAGAAAGGTCCACTGTTTTGATCTGAGCACATTTCCTAGTCTCGTTGTGTGACGCCACAGTGAGTTGCGAGTGAGATGTCAGGCCCTTATTTTGCCAGCACAGACGCGTGTAGACATGATTCTTCGGATGAGGAACTTATATTATGCAGGCACAATTATTGTTACATGTTTGATGTACTGGGAAATTAGCTGGATTCTTCAGAAATGTTGAGTGTTGTGACACTGGAGTTTCATAAAACCTGCTGAGTAACACAGACGTCAGCATAAATTGGTGTGTGTGTGTGTGTGTGTGTGTATTTCTGTGAGGAGGCTAGACTGAGAGAAAAACAATAGGATAGGAATTTGACCATATATCAAATGTTATTGTATTTTATTATATATATATATATATATATATATATGCATATATTTCTAAATATTTGTGACTATTATTTAATGTAACATTAATTTAGTATGCACACAATTGTTTGTTCATCTCATTCCAGATTGGTTTGGCCAACTTTATACTTCACATCTCCCCAGACTGTCCATGACTCATTGTTGGCGAACTGAAAACACTTCCAACATGTTGTGGCGAACCATTTCTGAGTGCTTCGTGTGTCTTCGGGTTGCTGTCCTCCTAAAGGTCCAATGACCTTTGACTGATACATTTCTCCTACTCAGGAGTTTTGCTACAAAACGTCTGTTTTGAATTTCACAATGTTTGATATCCTTAAAAAGCACCATTTCAGGAAGTGAATCTTTCTCTGCCGGTTCCAACAAATCCATAACTGAAATTGACAGTTTTTCTTGGTATTGCCGCAAATTCATTTTGCAGTAAGTAATTTTGGTTCAGAAATGTTCCAAATAATTGTTACATGAAAGCACAACAAAGCCTTTGTCACAGGTTATCATAGCACATATTATTATGACATTGACAGGTTTATTCGGCACTGATTCAGATGTAGTGTCAGGGGAGGTGCCATTTCAAGGTACAGAGGCTCTTTAAATAATTAGCCTGTGCTGAATGAGCTAGTGCGTAACACAGGGTTTTCACTTGTATTTTCACTCAGCACCCTCTGCTGTCGACCGGGCAGAGGGGCGAGAGAAAGGGGAAATTATAAGAGTTTGAAAGTGTGGATTATAATGCAAAGCACAAGCATGAAACAGCACACAGCAGGTCAATGCAAGTCTATATTACTGCACAGTTGAATAATAGTACCACACACACACACACACTGACACACACACACACACACACACACACACACACACACACAGCCATGAAGATAGAAAAAGATGATGATAATGAATAGAGATGTTCTCTGCAGGAGAGCTTCTTGGTCATATATTGACTGAGTATAACATGGTCACAGTCTTTGTGTTGTAATGTTGAATTTAATAAAAGTCAGACTTAATTCAAGTTTGAAGAAAAATGCTCTGAAAATGTCTTGCCAAGACCCAAATTAGAGTAATGATATATCAATACGTTTTGCCATGAATCATGCGCTTGCGTATCTCAAAGTGAAAGATCTTCAGCTTCAAATATATTGACTATACTAAGATATTCAGAAGGAAAGCAGATGGTGCGAGCTGTGTGATTTGGGTGCAATGTGCAGTTCCATTTTCTTTTGCATTGTGCTAGATTATTTAGGAGTGTCTCTTATATACAGAGTGTACAGTTGATCAAACATTGGAGTGACTGTTTAATATTGACGGGTGTAACTTTGCTCACTATCACTTAAAAGCTTGGAAAAGAAGGCAAAATGAATTATTAATTCAGTATTTACTCTGGTTTCTCCAGTATTATTCAGTTACAAGTTTTGTCAATTCAGTTTTGTCAATAATTGATACATATTGTTGTGGACAATGGGTTATCTGATTGTGAAAGTGTTTTCTCGCTTTTTGGACTTTTTGGTAAATGATGGTATGTTGTCTTGTTGGCGTAGTTCCTAGTTCATGTTTTGCCGCCAGAGGCCGCAAGTGTCCCACCTTTATTATATGGGAAACGGTCTCTTCATCACCCAGACTTCTTCGCTGCTAGAATTTGCTGGTAAGGAGACTTTGTCATGTACGAAGCGAATTTCAAAGGTCTTTTGACAATGCTGAATGAAGCCAAATCTGTTTGAAACACATACTGGGACTTAGGTCGACAGAAAGGCGAAACTTGGCGGATGACGAAGCCGTTGTTTAACTGTCCAGTCAAATGTGGTGCTGAAATACCGCAGTCGTGCACGTGTACTTCGAGTTGGGTTTGGCTTTTTACCAAACTTTGTGCTTTACGCATATAACACTAATAAAACAAATAAATGTTGCATTCAGATGGGAGTTGTATTGAATTTAACAAGACTTTCCACCTGTCAAGCAAGTGACAACAGAGTGGAACTGCAGAGCACTGAGTTGAGATGTAACTGTAACATGGGCTTTCGGACGCCTACACGTCATAAAAAGTGTTTACTTTTACATTTATCGCGTCCTTACGAGCTTTATAATTGCCAATTATTGTGCTCAGAGACACGCTTGCAATTTATTTAGCTCTGTAAAGCTGTAGCCTAGATACACGGGAGAGCGTCCTTGGTATTTGTGTTGTAAAGAGCTGGAGGAGAAAGATGGCCGGGGGTGGTGTGTGTGGGGGGGGGGGGGGGACTGATAATTTGAAGACTTGCCAGGGGTACATTGTCAAATTCAAAAGGCATTTCAAACAACCAAACCATTCACTTTTTTATTTTCTCTTCTTTTTTCCCTCCTGTCTGTCTTTTTTTTCCGCCTTTCTTTCTCTTTGCACGGTTGCAGGCCGTTTGAATCGACCAATGGGCCTTCAAGTTAGGGACATTGGAATGTAAATGAGCTCAGCGCGTGCTCCCGGCGCAGTGAAAGCTCGGGATTGTTTATTGAGCTCCCGGAGCCACGCGCCTGGCCCGGGGGAGTCGGCGTGCAGAAGAATCACACAGCGGGGGCGGGGCCTCGCGACGAAGCGTGCGTCTCCCAAAAAAAAAAAAGGGGTGGGTGGGGTGTGTGTTGGGGCGCGTGTTGAAAAAGAGGAGTGCTGCCAAAGTTTGGGTCAGATCGGCTCGTGGAGTAAGCAGTCAAGAGAGACTTGGACTAGAGTTAGCCACACGGTCCCCACGCGAAGGACACGAGAGCTGTACACTGCCAACCCCTTCCGCCTCTTCTTGTCCCACTGTTAGAGGCTGCACTCGCCCTCTGCATCCATCACTTCGGAAGAACTGTCAGCGAGATGGAAACGACAACCATCACCACCACGCAGACTGCATTCACCTTTGGATTTACTGAAAGACACGCCAGCATCAGCCTGCACGCCCCGGCCCAGGACTGCACTGCCCCCGCCGCGCACCCCAACGACAACGCGGCCGGCTTCCAAAGTAAAACCAAGGTGCTGAAGAGACAGCGCTCCAGCTCGCCCGAGCTCCTGCGCTGCAAGCGGCGCCTGAGCTTCAACGGCCTCGGCTACTCCATCCCTCAGCAGCAGCCTGTGGCCGTGGCCCGGCGGAACGAAAGAGAGAGGAACCGGGTCAAGCAAGTCAACATGGGTTTCCAGACGCTGCGACAGCACGTGCCGAACGGCGCCGCCAACAAGAAGATGAGCAAAGTGGAGACCCTGCGGTCCGCGGTGGAGTACATCAGGGCTTTACAGCAACTTCTGGACGAACATGACGCGGTGTCGGCTGCTTTCCAGTCCGGGTTGCCATCCCCGACACTCTCCAACAGCTACTCCGCCGACCCAGAGTCGCCTCACTCCACCTACTCATCGGACGAGGGCAGTTATGAGCCTCTGAGCTCCGAGGAGCAGGAGCTGTTGGACTTTACGACCTGGTTTGACCGGTACTGAGGCTGACAGCATCCGAACCAGCTGCGCCTGTGCGTAAAAGCAGCTGCTTTCTTTCAGAAAACGCTGACAAAGACTTGGTAAACGGCATCAGATCAGTCTCGCTCTGATGCTTGAAAGTGATCTGTTGCCTCCCTCCCTCGCCCGGGCTGCCTCTACAGGGGCAAAGCAATAGTGAATGAGTGAGAGAGAGAGAGAGAGAGAGAGAGAGAGAGAGAGAGAGAGACAGCGTGTGCGCGAGAGAGAGGGAGCCTATAAGTGCCCACACGAAGAAGGGAGTTGGACTCGGTGTCACGTTGACGCGTGGAAGTAAAGAACTGTTGATGTTATGTTTGAATAAGTGCAATTAAGACGTGACACAGCAGGTTCTGCAGAGACGGCGCTGCAGTTCCAGAGGACTTGTCTGATGAGTGCATCATCAGAGCAGGAGTGCCTTCCTCGGCTGCCACGTCCGTTGGAAGACATAAACAAAGAGGATGCGTCGACAGACTGTTTCGTGGTGTACATTGTTTCCTCCCCTTTCATAACAAAAATTGTATCATACAGCGAACTGTTTTAACATGAAGACATATTTTTGTACATGAGCCAAACAAACGTTCTTGAACAACAGCCGCTGCCACTTTTCCTGACAGTGTTGTGAGAGCCAGCTGTCAGTGAGGCAGTGAGTTGGCATGTATGCGTTGTGTGACTGGAAAGCAATATCAAGGCTACCTGTGACAGATTTTTTTCCTCTTTTAATAGGTGGTAAGGAGACCTTTATCAATGTATGCACTTGTTCTCCGTGTCCCGTCGCCTAAAATGTAAATATTCGATTTTAACAGATATATTTTGTGTAAAACGAGTTTTATAAATAAAGATGAATCTATTTATATAATATGCTTTTGTAGTGGTTTGGTTCTTAAGCTGATGTTCTCAGTGTGTGTGTGTGTGTGTGTGTGTGTGTGTGTGTGTGTGTGTGTGAGGGGTGTGTGGCGGTAATTGAGCAAACTAGTAAGCTTTTCTTCTATTCAAAGCTCCTGCATGACCTTTAGCCGCCTTGCTTGGCCACACGGGGGAAAATAGCGCAGCTGGGTGAGCACTCAATAACCATTATAGACGTGCACCTTCTACGGCGCTTTGTCTGCATTCAGGACGAGGAGATTAATATTACGTTTCATGCATTGCATTGTTTATTCTGCATACTCTGCCTTTACCCAATAGCCCAGGGGGCCTGAAGCAGAGGAGGGGGGTGTAATTCACGCCTCTCAAAGGGTAGACACTTTGAAATACGGCCCGGGGAAAGTCAGCGAGACAATGAGAGGGGTCAAAATTCTTATTGCCCGATTGAGATCAATCTAAATAAAACCTGGGGTTGTAGACTAGTTGTATCCCCAACTGTGTTTTTCATGGGGCACACAGCCAAACCAAAAAGCCCGTCTCCTGCAAAATGGGGAGCACAACACCACACAGAGCACTATTGTGTGCGCCTTTGCGCCTCATTATGCCAATTATGGGAGATCTTCTATTGTAATTAAACACTGATGCCAAATTCAGCGAGGCAGAACGAGAAATAACGAGTTGAATTTCACCTGGTGCTCTCTGTGGAACGAGAGGCTGATTGAAGCTGGTGTTATAGTCCTAGTGTCATATATTCAATTCAAAAACTCAAATACATTTCATCAGCCAACATTAATCCAAAAAAGAAAATAATATCGGCGTTAGTGGTACGTCAGAACATCTTGCATTTATAACAGGCTGTAACAGGATGTTTGGGATGCTTGTTTTTTTGCACCCAAAAGTGTGCCTCAGGCATTACACGCTCCACCTCTCTCTCTCTCTCTCTCTCTCTCTCTCTCTCTCTCTCTCTCTCTCACGCACACACACACGCACACACGCACTGCAGCTTGCAGGTGTAAGCCACGTGCCTGCGCTCGGTGACAAAGGCTCTTGCGCTCCCATTGGTCAATGGCTCGCGTATGATGTGAGCCCCGTCGGCGAAGGCAGTGACACAATCCAACAAGTGATAAATGACATTAATTACGCTCTGCTTTATAACCTCCTACGTCAGCGGGACTCAAAAAGGCAAATCAATGGCACAAAATACCCCGCTGCTCCTTTATTATACGGTTGAAATGATGTTTCTGATGTCCTTCAGTGTCAAGCAGAGGCCAGTGCACAAAGTAAAAATAAGGGCATGGCTCCTGCATGTCCTCTAAGATGGATATGCAATTTTCTCCTCAGCCATTTAGGGAGGAGCTGGGGTGAAAATAGATTTATTCATGTCATCTTGTCATTTTCACTTTGACAATACATAAGGGCGATGTTAATTTTGGCGTAATCCAATGGTGAATAATCAATCACATGCAGCTCATTTATGCATGCGTTTTCCTTCGCAAAGCCATGATGTATGCATAAACCATGGAAACCTCAAATGCGCACATACCTAGATTATAATAGGGCTAAACTGGGCAAGAGTGGGGTGGTGAGGGGTCATCTGTTGCTCTGCATGCAGTCATCGGAGTGCTCGGTGGACTTTTAAGTCATTTTGCATGAACGAGAGGCCATCCATTCCTCCCGTGTGTTCGTAAATTGCGCTTTGCAGAACTAGTTTTGGTGTACAAACTTCGTTGCTGCTATGTTTTGACGCCGTGGGCAAAAAGCGTTTATCCGTGTATGTCCCACAACATGAATCATTTTAATGGCAGGCAATATTTACATGACAACAGTCTAACTGCCACTAATAACAACAATCTCAGCTTCTTGGGATTCATTTAGAAATGAAATACTAAGCATTACCATTCAGTATATATATATATATTACTAAACATTCATTTATTTCAATATCAAAATATAAGTTTACTGTTTTGTTTGTACTTCAGTTGTTCTAATGTTAGTAGTAATTTAGTCTATTGATCTGAAAAAAGCCTTGATTTACAGGCTTAACTTTAATTCTTTCAAAGATAAGGAGTTTATTTGCCAGCTGTGATGACTTGCACCAATGTCTGTTGGGTGGGGCTGAAGTGGATACGTGGTTGCTTTTTATTTTTAACTCAGTAGGAAATTACTTTGACTTATTTCAAGTCACAATAACGGAACTCTTTATCTTAAATTCTAAAATGAATCTCATTATGATAACACAAGAAACAAAACAAATAATTTGCTTTTAATGCAAAATGTTTCGGTGTTAAAAATGAAGGAATAGCTGCAGTCACAGTGGTAGACAACCCACCAATCACAGCTCAGAGCCACATCTGCCAGCAAAGCAACAGGTCCATCAGGAACTGCAGTCTAGAGTAAAATGACTTTTTATTACTATGCATTAATTAAGACAACAATCACACATGTCTATGTCTCTGATGCTTTAATAATTCCCAATTATTACTATTCAAACAGGTATTTTATTTCATTTTACTATGTAGAATCAATATTAAAGCATACACACTTTTATTAGCGGATGAAACAACTTAATTCCTTTAAGTTTACCACAGCAGTGAACATGAATAGAGTCTCTCGATGAACCCATATATTTTTTTCTCACAGAAAGTAGCTAACTAATGCAAATAATATAAACAACACACAAACCCATAGTTGCTCTGTGAAATTCTGAGCACTGTGAATACTGTGAAGATGCTAATACGATAAATACGGTTCAGACAAAGGAGGGATGACCACAGACAGACGAGTGATGGAGATGAATGGAGAGCTGGCGCACAACCTTGAGCAATGCTTACAGAGGTGTTAATGTTTAAGCAGAGGCACAGACACATTTATATTTAACATAGACAGAAAACATGCTGAACCCATTTTGGAGTAGACACACAGGGCTGTGCAGCTGGTTCAGACAAATCTGCTGACCTGTTGGCTATTGATTTAGTAAAGTATTTTGCACTAACTGCTGCTGATGCTCAGTTTTTGCCCTGATAGAGGTTATGGTCAGTCACTGCAGGTCACATTGGCTCTGAGCCATGTTAATAACGGCCTTTTAGATTGCAAGCTTCAAGTCTCTTTCCTCCTCACTGTATTTAGAGAGTCATGCTGTGGATGCTGCCTAAGCGTCTTCTTCATAGAGCAAGTAGTTTTACTTGTCGGCTTTTACTTTAAAATATATAGCACAGCAGGAACTGACCAGGGTAAATGCTAATATCTTCTGTGATACCGAACATTCATAATAGTTTAGTTCCTGGGATTTAAATTCAGATTCAGAGTTGGAGATGTACCTCATAGCAAGTTTTCCATTGCACTGAATATCTGCTAAAGATGTTCCACAGTTAGAATCAGAGTCATGCACTGAGTTGTAATGCTCATCACTGTGTTGAAGGAGTGGACATGTGGATCAACATAAGTCTGTTCTCTGTGGGAAAATGTGCCTGTTGTGTTTCATTTCATAATCTCAATTCAAACAAATATCACAGGGTCACACCAGTGTGCTGGAAATACTCTTCCCCACATCAAAAGTCTTACTAAATAGGAGCCTTGCCCACAGCCGCCAAGTCACTCTTACTTTCTGACAAAAAAGTCAGTCATTCGACTCGTGTTTCTGAAAAAAAAACCCCGTTCTCTTTTCAGATGAACGTTTGAATGCGTGCAGCTCAGCACTTTTAACTGACACCTCTGTATGTGTGTGAATAGGCCCTAAACTTCAGACGACCCAGCAGAGGAGGAACCGAGCTCAGGCCTGAAGGGTGGAGGGATGGAGTAGCTGGGGATGTGTGGTAGGGTGGAGGTGGCGGGGGCTGCGATTTGCATGGGCCATTGTGCTGCACAAGTTTGGGTGCTTTTTTTTTGGCCTGGGCCCTTTTGGCCATTTACTTCCACTCTGGCTGGCTGTGGCGGGCTGTGAATAGTCTCTGCTCGGAGGAGACACAAAGGCGCTTTTGTGCTGCGGCTGCACCATATTCATCATGTAATGCCTGTAAGACAAATCTGATTGGACGTCTCTGTCACTTTGATGTGGGTCCAGAGTGCGAGTGGCCCTGAGATTGCTAACTTCACTCTCTATTGCCTATTCTGCAGCATTGATATGGGGGTGGAGGCAAAGGGGAGAGAAGAGAGGTGGCTTGGGGGAGAAACGGGTGGGGAGGGAGTGCAGGCAGGGGGTAGTCCTCATTATTTGCAGGAGCAAATTCATAATAAATTTCCCCATTCTACAAAAACGGGTCGAGATGATTGACACTACTTTGCGCCAGGCTGAACAAAAGCCCTGATTTGAGCAGAATACCAAATGAATGGGGCGAGCGTGGACCCAATTCAAACAATTTTAATCTCTCCCCGTCCTCCCTTACTTCTCCTCTCCTCCTCTCTCCCCCTTTCCCTCACACTTACCCTCTTTTTTTCAACTCCAACTCTCCTGCCTCTTTTGTCCAGAGCATTCTCATTTTACAGGGTAATTCTACTCCAACGGATGTGCTAATTGTGCTGGGTTAAACTGGATGCTAGTGGACTCCTGTGATACAGAGCTTATTCTTGCCTAATGACTGTAATGATGGTTCAGAGAAACTGCAGCCTGCAGCCTGGAGTGGGCTGCTTGTCCTCGAGAGGGAGATGTTTTTTTTTTTTACTTGTGTGGGCTGACTAGGAAAGAAGAACAGAGCTGGAGCTGATGTCTAAGGTTAGGTGTAGGAAAGAGGATGGTGGACAAAATAATGGGACCATGAACTGGTGCTGCTACCAAAACAGTAGCACAGACTGATGCCTTTAAGTGCAGGATAGACACATACAGTATATGGCATATTCTAGTCATGAGAACTAAGATAGTGATAATTGTTAGTGATGGGTAGAAGAAGAATGCCGGATTAGTATATACATTTTAGTGTGCAAGTGAGCGAGGAGTGAGCACAGTGAGAATCTAAAATTCAGT